TGTTTTAAACAGTCAGCTGCCTTAACATGGGATGCATACACATTTATAAAGCCACTTGTTCCTGTTGAATTGATCCCTTAATCATTACATAGTGGCCTTCTTTTTCACTTTCAACAGTTTTTGTCTTAAATTTTATTTTGATTGAAGTTACTACTGCTCATTTTAATTTTCATTTACATGGAATGTTTTTTCCATATTTTTCTTTTACTTTGTGTATATCTTTGGTGATAAAAAGTGTTTCTTATAGGCATCATTTAGATGATTTTTATTTTTTAATCTATTTGGTGATAAAAAGTGTTTCTTATAGGCATCATTTAGATGATTTTTATTTTTTAATCTATTTAGACAAACTGTATCTTTGAATTAGAAAATTTAGTTCCTTTATATTCAGGGTTATTGTTGATAAGTAGTTGCTGTGGATTCATTCCTGAGAGGAGGAGCGTGGTGGGGGCAAGAGGTGTGGGGTCACCACACAGACCCCGGGAGTCCGGTGAAAGTGGGCCAGAGGCGAGCAGCCCGCAGACTCATTTATTTCAGTTGGTACAACAGCTTATATAGACAAGACAGCCAATCTGGTCAAGGGGCAGTCTATGCCCTAACCAATCACAGCCTGTTGCCAGGCAGGTTCCAAAGCCACCCAATCACAGCCTGTTGCCAGGCAGGCTCTGAACTATCCAATCACAGCCTGTTGCCCGGCAGGCTCTGTTTGCCATGTGGTTTCCAAAGCCATCCAATCACAGCCTGTTGCCAGGCAGGCTCTGTTGCCAGGTGGGTTTCAAAGCCATTCCTAAGTAACTGACAATCGCTTGCCAGTGGCCATCTTGGCATGGCCTTCTCATTCCACCACAATAAGTAATGACTTTGTCCTGCCATTTTTTTCCATACATATTCCTTTTGTTTGTTTTCATCTCCTTTTGTGCTATTACTTGAGGTTTTTTGGCTTCACATTGTATCATGGTGCTGATTATAATTAAATCAGCTCTTTTTTTGTTGTTCAGTTCCTTGAGTTCCTGATATGCTCTGGATATTAGTACTTTGTCAAATAAATATTGTCCCATTCTGTAGGATGTTTCTTGACTACATTGAATATTTCCTTTTCTGTGCAGAAGCTGCTGAGATTGATATTACTCCATTTGTCTAGATTAGATTTTGTTTCCTGTACTTTTTCTCCCAGTTTATTTATCTATTTTAATATAAAGAGAATGGAATTAATGTAGTTCATAGAATTCTAAGAATGTAATGATACTTTCATTTCTTTTCCCTCATCTCCCTATTACTCTTTTTTTCTTAAAGTAATTGACATAATGTATTTTTAATTTACATTATAGTCAAAGGCTTAAGACCCACTAAATAAAGAGTACATCAAATGAAATTTAAAAATACTATAGTTCAGTAGGAAGTTAGCCAAGGGCTATAAAACAGTAATCAGGCCAGTACCACGGCTCACTAGGCTAATCCTCCACTTGCGGCGCCAGCACAACGGGGGGTTCTAGTCCCAGTCAGGGCGCCGGATTCTGTCCTGGTTGCTCCTCTTCCAGTCCAGCTCTCTGCTGTGGCCTGGGAGTGCAGTGGAGGATGGCCCAAGTGTTTGGGCCCTGCACCTGCATGGGTGACCAGGAGGAAGCACCTGGCTCCTGGCTTTGGATCAGTGCAGTGTGCCAGCTGTGGCGGCCATTTCGGGGGTGAAACAATGGAAAAGGAAGACCTATCTCTCTGTCTCTCTCTGTCTCTCTCTCTCTCTAACTCTGGCTGTAAAAAAAAAAAAAAACAGTAATCAAATGAAAAGATGTTAGTTGTACTCATGTAACATAAATTTTAAAAATAATCATTGATCATAAAAACAAACTTAATTGCTTCCTTAACAAAGATATAAAACAAAGTTTAACAAAACTGTGTTTATAGCAATGCTGATACACCCAAACCACATGCTACTTTGTACTAAATCAAAATACAAAAACAAATCACAAAAGCAAATGCAGCAAAGAAAACAGAATCTGAATGCCTCACAATTTCAGCTTAGTCAAATTATTTGCTCTTCATTAGTATACCAGTAATTCTATGAGAGATATAAATACAAATTCTTATAAAATGATTTTGGTAGGATAGTTATCAGGTATAAATTACTAGCCAGAACATCATTCAGTATGATGAATAGTATTATTGTGAGGGCAGAATTCTCACTTTTTTTATAAAGAGAGATAAATTGTAGATTTTTACATATACTTCATTGAAAGAAACAATAAGTGTTTTGCAACTATTTCAGAAAAGCATGATTATTGTGGAAAACTGTAAAATAAGCTCAGATGAGCTTTCATTGACATGTTTTATTACCAATTTGCTGTTTCATGAATTTTAATTTTAATCTTTGAATCTAAGCATTAATTTTTATAGCTTCACTAATTTTTATTAGTATTTAGAAAGCATCTATTATATATATAAATACTGAGAAATATTAAATTAGTATTATAGTCTTCATTGAATACACAAAGAATGAGAAAGAATGCATTATATAAAGAAATCTACTAAATATTTAAATAAGGGTCAGATAAATGGTTATTATGTGGTAATGCAAATAAAGAATACCAGTGTAAATATTCAAAATTGGAAATTTATTGACAGAGGGAGTCCAGGGCTGGAAAGAGAAGTTAAACAATAATTTGTAAAGTTTAGGCTAAAGAAAATGTGATCTAAAATAAAGAGAAAGCTGAGGCCGGTACTGTGGCATAGTGAGAGAAGTCACCATCTGCAGTGCCAGCATCACATATGGGCGTCGGTTGGTTTGAGTTTCAGCTGCTCCGCTTCCTGATCCAGCTCTCTGTTATTGCTTGGGAAAGCAGCAGAAGACGGCCCAAGTCCTTGGGCCCCTGCACCTGTGTGGAAAACCCAGGTGGAAAACCCGGAGTAAGCTCCTGGCCCCTGGGTTAGCACAGCTCTGATCATTGCAGCCAATTGGGGAGTGAAACAGCAGATGAAAGATATCTCGCTCTCTCTCTTTCTCTCTCTCTCTCTCTCTGCCTCTCCTTCTCTCTCTGTGTAACTCTGATTTTCGAATAAATAACTGAATCTTAAAAAAAAAAAAAAAGACATGTGCTCTAGAAGGACAGGAAGCTGTCCATGGTTCTGAAAACCTACATTTATTACACGCAAATATTTTCTTCTGGGGACTCTAACGATATTCAGATTTTTGTTCCCTGCTATCTATCACATTTTACTTTATCTAACACCAGAGTTTCTAATATTCTATTAATCTTATTCAACAGGAATCTGACCTATCATAGTTCTCCACCAGGCGTGGAGAGACCAGTGTATTTTCTGTTGTTGTTGGCTTGTTGTTGCACATTCCAGGATATCAGTATTTTAGCAGATTCTAAGTGTCTTTCTATTGTATCCTGTTTTTCCTCCTCTGGCTCTATTGCTGTTATCATACAGTTTAAAAAGTAGATAAGCTAATTACTGTAATGATATATTCCTCCATGTGAGTGGAATTTTATGAAGAAATAGTAAAAGTATACTATAAAAATGAAAAAAAATGTAACACACATTGCAAAGAGAAGATTTAAGAAATCATTTGGGTTTCATTTAAACGCTATTTTGTTCCATTGTATCAAAACAATTCCTCTTTGCAATAACATGAATTATTACATACAACAATAATTTCAGTTTTTTCTCCTTTTTACTAAACAGTATGAGAGCTCTAAAAGGCCAAGATAGATCTCTGCTTCAAATTCAATGGAACCAATGAAGTGTTTATAGATGAAGGCACATTCTGCTTGGATATCAAATTTCTTAAGCAGTAAGTTTAAGAAGAATGAAATTTTACAGGAAATAGTGTCAAATATTTAGATGTAGTTTGTAAATCATAATTCTCACTTATACCTCTTGATGTATAAGAAATAAAGGAAGAACAACATTATATATTCATTACTTGCTTAGATTTTACAGAACTTTGTGAAGTCATTAGCTGATTAAGCTTATCAAATTTTTTTCTCTTTTTCAAATATGCATTAAAGCAGTTTGGTTAAACAGTCAAAATAAATTAATTTTCATGTGGACAACAATGAACAACTCATTGTTATCATTTTTCTCAGTGATGTGGATATACCATTTGCTATATAATTTTGATTTAAAAGTGGAATTCTAGAGATTTTATGTTTGATAATTACAACATAATAATCTTCCTTCAGGGAAAGAAGACATAATTTTCTCACTTGATATTCCATTCAATAATTAACGATATAAACAATATGAGTCCCAAATCTTCAAATTCTGTTGCAAGGACCACAGAAAATAGACATCAAATGTTTTTTGAATGCTCATGCATCTTCCTTTTCATTTATTTCCCATATTCCAAATTTATTGAGAAAATTAAAAATTGATATTTTAGTGCATAAGCCATTTAAGTTTGATGTAATCTTGGTGTTGTGTCCTCTTCTACTACTGTCATGCTGAAACCTAATTCTAGCTATTCCTCTAAAATCAAGAAGAGGGTAGAAATACAGAATTAAGAAATATTTAAAATCTTTCAATTATTTGAGAAAGAGAGAGAGAGAATTTACATCTGCTGGTTCACTCCTCAGTGACAGCAAATGCTGGTGCTGATGTGAGGAGAGCCAGGAGCTCCATTCAGACTCTCATGTGGTGGTGAGACTTCAATTACTTAAGCCATCACTGTTGACTCCAAAGGTTTGCATTGATGGAAACTTTTGATAAGGAGTTGATCTGGGAATCAGAGTCAGATACTCTGACATTAAATGTGGGTGTCTTGACCCCTAGGCTAAACATGCACATGTGATATGACTTTTAAAGAAGAGCTGCTTTTCAGATAAACAATTTTGACAGCCAGGGAAATATTAAATAGTATTCTATGCTATTCACATGCTCAAATACAAATTTTCCAAGAGTTTAGATTTCCAGTTTCCCCAGTACAATGCCATACCTGATATAAAATGACAGAGCAGAGTTGTAGATTCAACTGTCATTATAAATCAGCAACTTGCAGAATTGATCTTTTCATTCGATTTTCAGCTACCTACCTGTTACTACAGGTTATAATACATGTTTTAACACTATTTTAGAAAATACCTAGACTTAAGTCCAGTACTTGAGCTGAAAACTTAGAAATTTAATTTTATTCTCTTTTTAATCAGTTCAATAGTGTTAAGAGCAACCACATTACTCCTTGGCCCTTGAAATTCTCATTTAAAATTTTTAAATTAGTTTCCTAGGGTTGGCATAAAAGTATCAAAAAGTCAAATGTCTAAAAGAATGGAAATTTATCAAATTACAGTTATGGAGGCTAAAAATTCCAAATCAAAGTATTGGCATAGCATGCTCCTACAGAATCCAATAGGGGACCCCTCACTTTCTCCTTAGCATCTAGTGGTTGCTTATAATTTTTATTCTGCTTTTATTCACAACTGTAAAAGTCCAATGTCTTCCTTTATTGCTATATGAAATTCTCTTTATGTACGTCTCTGCTTTCATATAGTTGTTTTCTTACGAAGACCCCTCTAATATTAGACTGTAGGTGCATTCTAATCAAGTACAGATGTCATTGTGACATAACCAATTACATATACAATAATCATATTCTCAAAATCTTCATAATGTGAAGCACCAGGGATAAGAATTTTATTACAGTTTTTCCTGGGATACACAGCGAAATCCAAGACATATTCTTCCATGCTGTATCATTAGCACTCCACAGTCTCACCCTCAGGTAAACCTAGACAATAATTCAGTTGATTTTTCTTCATATTAAGTACACCCTGATTATGAAATACGTATAGATTTTTACTAACTTTAGTCTCATCTACGACAGGTAATGCATCTTCGATATTTTTAAATTTCTCTAAGAATTTGGGTCTTTCTCTGAAGACTTATTTTATCTATTTGAAAGGCAGGGTTAGAGAGAGAGAGAGAGAGAGAGAGAGAGAGAGGTTTTCCACCTGCTGGTTCACTCCCCAAATGGTTGCAATGGCTGAGCTGATCCAAAGTCAAAAGATCCTTCTAGGTCTCCCATGTGGGTGCAGTAACCTAAAGACTTGAGTCATCCTCCACTGCTTTATCAGGCACAATAGCAAAGAGCAGCCGGGACTAAAACCGGTGCCATGTGGTATTCTGGTGCTGTAGTCTAAGGCTTAAGTACACTGTGCCATAGCACCAGCCCCAGGATCTGGGTCATGCATCACACTGCAAGTATCAGTTTTTCTGATGAGAGGATTTCTATGTTACCAAAAATGGGACTGATTTATGCTGTTTTAAAGAAAAAAATTCATTTCCTATTGAAATCTCTGTAGGCCCATAGAATAAATGGAATTTAAAAATAAAATGCTGCACAATAGATCAAGTGAAAAAGTCACAAAGTATTAAGAAAATGTCACCCTAATGAAACATCCATTTAGGAACTTGTTATAATTCCCTTTACCATTGGATCTTTGACTATTAATGGTGCAATGAATATACAGGGGTCTCACTTTCTATAAACTTTTGCTTTTTTCTTAAGACTCAAGTCCTAGAAAGGAGTCCAACTGGATTTTTTTTTGTTCTATAGGTTAGCTGTTAGAAAGAAGGGAGTGCAAGCCGGCGCCGTGGCTCACTAGGCTAATCCTCCACCTTGCGGCGCCGGCACACCGGGTTCTAGTCCCGGTCGGGGCGCCGGATTCTGTCCCGGTTGCCCCTCTTCCAGGCCAGCTCTCTGCTGTGGCCAGGGAGTGCAGTGGAGGATGGCCCAGGTGCTTGGGCCCTGCACCCCATGGGAGACCAGGAAAAGCACCTGGATCCTGGCTCCTGCCATCGGATCAGCGCGGTGCGCCGGCTGCAGCGGCGGCCATTGGAGGGTGAACCAACGGCAAAGGAAGACCTTTCTCTCTCTGTCTGTCTCTCTCACTGTCCACTCTGCCTGTCAAAAAAAAAAAAAAAAAAAAAAAAAAAAAAAAAAAAAAGGGAGTGCAAAAACAAAGAAAGAAACAAACACAAGAATTTGCCTGTGCATTTCGGTAATCTTAGCTCTTTCCCCTCAACCCTCTCTCACTGTTCCTCTTCCCGTCATCTCTTTCTGTTTTCTGATACCAATTCTTTTTTCTTTTCCCTTGCTTTTCACTTTAACTTTACTAGTAAGTGCAGTGTGCTCTCTCAAGTAGGAAAATATATTTTTCTTTAATATCATTGGCACAGTGGCACAGTGGCATGTTTAGTCTCCAAATTCTCCTTTCTACAATCCTATAATAGCTTATCATATGGACAAGCTAAATATTGGCAACTTTTTGTTGCTTCTTGCCTTTTCTGCCATATTTATTCTTTGCATCAAAGAAATAAGAGTCAATAAATCAGCTAAATGTAGTGGAATATTAAAAGGTATGAAAAGAAGTATAAAACAAAACCATCAGTTAATACTCGTTATCACAGATTTTTTATAGATCAGGAAAAAGGGGTCCAAAGAGTATACATTATGTGCTCTAGGTCAAACCAGTGAAGGTAAATGGTGGATTTAGATTATAAATTCCACTTTTTGAGCATTAAATTAGTATTTTCTAAGATAGCACAGCATTCCTCAATTTTTTACAAGCTTTATAAATTTTGAATTGATACTTGAATTGATGCAATTATAAAACATACATTGGTATCATCAAGATGTCTATGCTTTGCAACTTGGTCTGTACAATTCCAATCAAAATAAAAACAAATTGTTTTATGAATAATGATGAACAGATTGCAAGGTATTTATTGACGTAAAAATTTCAGAAATGATCAACACAATATTTAAGAAGAGCATAGTTGGTGAATTGATATCCTCTGGTTCTGATATGATTTCCGTGTTTCCCTTAAGGATTCATGCGCTGAAAATCAGGTCCTCAGTGTGAGGATGTTAAGTGGCTATGGCTTGGTTTAGGTTTGGCTACTGTACTGAAGGAGGATTTTAAATCATGAAAGGAGTAAGCTAATGGCACTAAAAGGGTAGAAACCCTCCAATTATGGTGTTTGGGAGATGGCAGGAGATGCTTAGCTCATTGAGTCTGTGCTCTCAAAGGTAGTTCTTATGAGACTGGTTATAAAACCCTGAATCAGGCTCAACCATTCTCTTTGCTCCCTCACTTGCCAAGTGATTTTTCCTCTGTGCGTGCTTCTACATTGTCATTTGCTGTTTTTGTTGGAAGATCAGCCATTGGGGCTGGCCGATTTTGAACCATAAACTTCCAAAACTGTGAGCTAAAATAAACTTTTTATATGTTAGTTGCCTTATATATTTCATTGTAATAATGAAAACAACAAATACAAAGGTGTTGGAATATTTTAGAGGTGGGACTTAATTGGATGTCTTTACTAAATCCTCCCAAACTCTGGCTTCTGATCTTACTATCTGATTTCTCCCTCTTACATGCTCTTCTGATGTGATGCAATCTTCTTCCATTATGTGAATTAGCTCAGGAGGCCATTGCTGCAGACTGAATGAATAGAGCCTCCAGATCTTAGATGTTCATCCTCCAAATGTGTGAGTTAAATAAATCTCTTTTTCTTATGCAGTACCAAGCCCTAGGCATTTTGTTATAGTACAGATAGATCAATTTAACATAATAGAGAAACCCATAAGTTTCTGCATACAAATATAATTAATTGATCTATGTATAAAGAGCAAAAATGTAATGTAACAATGTAATGGAACAAGGATCTAAAAAAATGGTGCTGTAAAAACTGTGCATCCACATGGCTTGGATCTTTTCCCAAATATTGAAAATGGTACACAAATAAAGTTGATTTAGATAGATAATTTATGCTTTTCACAAAAATTAACTCAAAATGTATTATACAGCCAGATGTAAAATGCACAACTATACAATTTGGAGTACATAACATGGAAAAATATAGGTGACTTTGGGTATGTTGAAGATGTTCTAGATTTAACATGAGATATCTTATACAGCAGGAAAATATTGATACATTGAACTCATAAAAATGAACAACTGATCTGAGAACATTACTGTTAAGATAATGATAAGACAGACCACAGAAAGGGAGAAAATACTTGTAAAACACATATAACTAAAAGCAAACATAATGTTTAAGGCATGGGCATTGAAAATATACAAAGAACTCAATTTCTCCAATAAGAATACAAAAAAATCCATTAAAAATGAGCAAACGATATGAACAACTACTACATTAAAAAGATATGTAAATGACAAATAACATGAACATTAACAATGACATTAACATGTCATTAAGTAATTTCAAATTAAAATGGCACTGAGATGCTATTACACATCAATCAGAATTATCTACATCCAAGGCAATCTCAGTTTCTTGTGAGAATGGGGAGCACCAGAAACTCTCATTTATTGATGAGGGAAAGCAAAATGGTAGAGTTACTTTTGAAGACAGTTTAGTGGTTTATTACACAGCCAAATGTACTTGTGCTATACAATTCATCAATTGTGGCCCTTGATAATTATCAAAGTGAGTTGACAGCTTATATACACTTTTTTTTTTTTTTGACAGGCAGAGTGGACAGTGAGAGAGAGAGAGACAGAGAGAGAAAGGTCTTCCTTTTCTGTTGATTCACCACCCCAATGGCTGCTGAGGCTGGCGTGCTGCAGCCGGCCCACCGCGCTGATCCAATGGCAAGAGCCAGGTGCTTCTCCTGGACTAGAACCCGGTGTGCCAGTGCCACAGGCAGAGGATTAGCCTATTGAGCCGCGGCACTGGCCTAGCTTATATATACTTTTAACAAGTGTTAATGATACATTTATTGATAATTACCAAAACTTGGAAGCAACCAAGTTGTTATTCAATTGGTGAATAGATAAACAAACTCTGGGATAGCCATACAATAGATTATTACTTAGCAATAAATAGAAATCACACATCAAACCGCGACAATATATAGAGGAATCTTAAATGGATATTGACGAGTGATACCAATTTGAAAAAATAACTCTATGATTCCAACTCTATGACATCTTGAAAAAGGCAAAAATATGGTAATTACCAGAAGTTTGGGTGCAGGGAAGGACCAGTGAATGGTTAGAGCCGTAGGATGCAGCAACAGGGATGTCTACACCAGTAAAATTTTTCATGAAATTATAATTATGTATATGACTAAATGTCATTAAAAATTGTCAAAAGCCATAGAATGTACAAAACTGAATTAAATTTAAAGCAAAACTGTGGAGTTTAATAGATAATAATGCACTTGAGTCATGAATATTAACCAATGTATCAACATCATTTATTGAAGAGACTGTTCTTTATCAAGAATGTGTTTTGTGCTTATTTGTCAAAGATAAGTTGGTTGTAGATATGTGTGTTTATTTTGGGGGCTTTATATTCCACTCCATTTGATCTATGTGTCTTTTATTTCAGTGCCATGCTATTTTCTTGTAATAGCTCTATAATATATTTTGAAGTCTAATATTGTGATGTCTACAGGTTTATTTTTTTAAAGATTTATTTATTTACTTGAGAAGTAGAATTACAGAGAGAGAGAGAGAGAGAGAGAGAGAGAGACAGAAAGGTCTTCCATCCACTGGCTCACTCCCAAAATGGCTGCAACAGCCAGAGCTGGGCATGCCCAAAGCCAGGAGCCAAGAGCTTCTTCCCAGTCTCCCCATGCAGGTGCAGGGGTCCAAGCACTTGGGCCCTCTTCCACTTCTTTCCATGGCCACAGCAGAGTTAAATCAGAAGTGGAGCAGCCAGGAGACAAACTGGCACCCTTATGGGATGCCAGCACTGTCCAACTATGCCACAGTGCTGGCCCCTACAGGTTTGTTTTTTATTTTTCAAGATTGCTTTTGATATTCAGAGTCTTTTTTGTTTCCATACGAATTTTAGCACTTTTCTAATTCTTTGAAGAATATCATTGGTATTTTGATGCAGATTGCCTTGAATCTGTAAATTATTTTTGATAATATTATTTCTTCCATCTGCAAATATAGGAAGTATTCCCATTTTTCTTTGTTTCAATTTTTTTGTTAGTTTTTGTAGTTTTTGTTGTAGAGGCCATCACATCCTTGGTTAAATTTATCCTAAAGTTTTCACTATTGTGTAGCTATATGAATAAGATTATTCTTTTAAGTTCTTTTTCACCACGATCAAAGTGCTATGGGTATTTGTGTGTTAACTTTGTATCCTGAAACTTTGATGAAAGATTCTGATAGTCTCTTGGTAGTGGGCTTTTGGCTACTGTCTATATAGAATCATGCTGTCTAAAAAACAGAAATAATTTGACTTCCTCCTTTCCAATTGGCATACATTTTATTTCTCCCTTTTGACTAATGACTCTGCCTAGAACTTCCAGAACTATATTGAGTAAGAGAAGCATGAATTGACATCTTTGTCTTTTCCAGATCTTAATGGAAATGCTTGCAGCTTTTGCTCACTCAATATGATGTTGAGTGTGGGCTTGTCATATATACAGTCTTTAATGTGTTGAGTTATGTCACTTATATACTGAATTTACTTATTTTTATTATGAAAGAATTTATAAAATTATTTCTCTGCATCTATTGAAATAATTATGATTTTTTTCTTTACTGTGTTGATGAAATGTGTCACATTTATCATTTGCATATGTTGAATTATCACTGTATCACTAGGACAAATCTCACTTGGCCAGGGTGGATGGCAGTTTACTTTTTTTTAATTAGAAAAAATTTATTTAAGGTATACAGACTCTTGCATTTCATATATACAAATTTAGGAATATAGTGATTCTTCCCATCCTGCCCTCTCTCCAACCCACACTCCCACTCTTCTTCTTCCTCCCTCTCCTATTCCCATTATTATTTTTTACTAAGATTTGTTTTCTATTAACTTTATACACATAAAAGTAACCCTACACTAAGTAAATAGTTCAATAGTGCCTAAACAGTTGAGACCAGGGCTGTTCAAAGTTGCCATATCTCAAAGTATCAATCTCATTTCTATAGATTATCTTTTAGGTACTTTCTTAGTTACCACAGGTCAGGGAGGACATGTAGTATTTGTCTTTATGGAACTGATAGCTTTGACATTTTGTTGTAATCAATATGTATTTTGTTGAGGACTTTGCATTTTTTTCAGGGACACTGGTCAATATTTCTCTTTTGTTATTGTTGTATCCTTGCCTGGTTTTGAAACTAAGGTAATGCTGGCTGCATAGAATGAGTTTTCTCTGTTTCCGCAGTTTTGAACAGTTTGAAAAGTGTTGTTTAATTATTCTCTAATAGTTGTAGTGAATCTTTCTGGTCCTAAGTTTTTCTCCCCTGAGGGACTCTTAATTCCTTGGTTATTTGTCTATCAGATTTCTTGTGTCATTATGGTTCAGCTTGATTAAGTTATATATTTCCATCAATCTATTCACTTATTTTTGTTTTCCAATTTGTTGGCATTTATTTGGTTACAATAGTTTATGATGACTCTTTGTACTTCTGTGGTATCAGTTGTTATATTTTTCATATGTAATTTTATTGGTTTGTATCTTCTCTATTTCCTAGTCTAGCTAATGATTTATTAGTTTTTCCATCTTTAAAAATTTTCATTTATTAACATGTGTGTTGTTTTTTTCTAATCTTTTATTCTCTAAGTTTTATTATTTCTTTTTTAAGTTTTACTTTTTATTTATATAAGGTAAACTAAATTTCATGTATTCTAGATGTAAAGATTTAGGGCCATAGTGATACTTCCCACCCTACCCACTTTCTTCCTCCACTACTTTTGGATTTGATTTGTTATTGTTTCTTCATGTTCTTGAGATACACTATTAAATTATTTATTTGATACATTTCAGTTTTTTATTTATGTACTTATATTTATAAACTTTCATCCTAACAAAATGTGCTAAAAACATTCCATAGAGAAATTACAGCTTCTTCAATAAATGTTGTCAGTAAAATTGAATTGCTACATACAAAGTTTGAAACAAAACTGTCAGCTTAGACCCTTTACAAAAATTAACTCAGAGTGGATCAAGGATCTAAATTTAAGACCTGTAACTGTTAAACTACATGATAAAAATATAGGAAGCACTACAAGAAATTGACAAAGATGATGACTTTTTTAGATAAGACTTCAAAGGCACAGGCAATAAGAGCAATATTAGACAGATGGGATTGTACTGAACTAAGAAATTTCTGCACAGCAAGTGAAACAATTGACAGAGTGGACAGTACAACTAACAGGATGGAAAAAATACTTGTAAACTATGCATCTTATAAATGATTAGTATTCAGATTATGTAAGGAGCTCAACTACAGCAAATGAAATGATCCAGTTAAGAAATGGGCAGGGGCTGGCGCTGTGGCACAGCAAGTTGAGTCACCAACTGTAGCATCAGTATCCCATATGGATGCAGAATTTGAATCCATGCTGCTCCAATTCCGATCTATCTCCCAACTGATGCACCTAGGAAAGTAGCTGAACATGTCCCAAGTGCTTGAGCATCTGTCAGCTACGTGGGAGACCCAGACATGGTTTCAAATTGGCCAAACTCTGGATGTTGCCTTCTCTCTCTGTAAT